TTTACCAATTTCTTTAACATTAGGTAATCTATCAAATGGAATCCATTCGATTGCATAATCATATATCCAGGTTCTAAGTTGAAACGTATTCATGCAATCGTCAATATCTGACAGATATTGTAGAATATGTTTTCTAAATGGAAATTTGACAAATATCGCATATAATACCTAAAATTCTGTAATAATAATTAAATTTATAAAAACGTATTAGTAAATTGTGAACCCGATTTCTTAGTTACAGAGGAAGGTACATAAAACCTATGGTTGGGCGCTCTTGTTCTAAGAGTCCTCCTAAAGAAATCTAGGACACCAAGTGCAGGGGACACGGTCAGTGCTGGCCAGGTACAGCCAAAGGGTCCCTCCTTCCTTTAAAGAAAGCATTTACACTCTTCTCCAAGTGCGTTTTCAGGAAAGTACTCCAAGCGTACGTCTTATGCCATTGTACTCTTATGCGATGTAAATCGATTAAATTCTTATTCGAATAAAAAAATTCAATTCGAATAAGAAAACTATATAAATAAAAAAGCTATCTAAAATAAAATCTATCTAAAAAAATTCTATCTAAAAAAAATTTTAATTAAAAAAAAAAAAAAAGACTTACCTACGAGCTCAAAACCTAGCCCGCCCAAATCTAAACAACTCTTATCGACTAAGCCTGATTGTAGGTTACATGAAGGTACGCAGCTTGGAGCAACCGACTCGCCGTTCATTTGTGGTATTATAAATAAAATTCCTAAATATGTATATATTTTTAGTAAATTCTAGAAATTGAAGGTAGCATAGTGGTTTAGATGCACGAAAATAAAATAAAATCACATAAAACACTGAAAAATTGCATATATATAATTACATAAAGACTACGCCATAGGACTTTCAGGAGTGTGTGTTAATCTTATCAGTTTCTTCTTCACTGCAGCCAAATTTTCTAGTTGTAAATGTTCAATTTTGGGTTGCGATTACGTTCTTGGAAATTAAAATGCATATAAAAACTTTGTATTCAATAAACGAAAGAACAGCTCTTGTTCACTTTTAATTGCTAATAAATAATACAAATATCTACTTAACTGAATTTTCCTTGAGACTTTATCTTTGAATTCGACTTGTAACTTTAATAAACCTTTTGGAACACAATTCGACGGAATAAATTGACTTGTAACTTCGATAATACCTGTTTGACCCAGCGGTATAAGAGATAGGTCCATCTAATAATACCCGACGAAACTATTAAGCAACAGAAACAACTCAGTATTTAATAAATCGAAAATAGCGTGTAATATGTAAACAAAACGCGAGAACCTCCCTAGTGTCACCCAAAAATCAGTTACGTACCGGAATTTAAAATTAAACATCAGCAATTTATTAATTGATACTAATAACTTACGATGTATTTTTTTTTGTAATAAAGCAATATGCAAACTGCATTTTTATTTAATTCTCGCTATATATATATACATGTATATTCCTTTTTTTTATTAATGCCGCATTAATTAAATTTCATAATAATAAATGAACATCAACGACGTTCTGAAACAGTCTTCATAAGGAAAACCATTTTTTATAATAAAAATAAAAATTCTCGAAAAAAATAAAATTATTGCCAATAAAATGTATTCGAATTACGCCCATTCCAAGTCTTTCTCGAAGTTTTTGCAGCTTCAAACCCTTCTAGGTCATTTACCATTTTTTTAATGGGGTCCAAGTTTTTTTCAATTGCGTTTAACCATTTTCTTCGTTGAGGAAGAGTTTCCGATTTTTCAATAAATGTTATTGCCTATGAATTAATTTTATTAAAAATATGTAAAAAATCTGTATTAAATAAATAATTTATATAATAATAATAAATAAATATTACCTTTACTAATATTTGTTTCAATTCAATTGCTTTGTCATTTGTTACTTCAACATCACTGGCACCTGATTCATATTCGTCCATGCTTAAATCTACCTCCGTTTCCTCATAATCACAATGTTCCATTTCAGAATTAGCCAATGCGATGGGTAAACCATTCTTAATATCTTGCCAAATAGTTTGTTTGGCTTCATAAAGAAATGGATATTTATTGTTGCGTTGAACCTTATTAAAAAAGGAATGTTCCATATTTCCTAGTGGAGAAACTAAATGTTTGCAAAGAGCAAACCGATTTTTAAGGAACATGGGGCATGAGCAAATCCAGTGAGTATAATCAGTAAGATATTTATTTGAATTCTTAATTTCTCGGCTTGCAAGCCTTTTCCATTCATTTGCAAAATCTTTTTGCCAAGATGGTCTAATTCTTTCAGCAACAAGGAGATCATAACGATGCATTAGTTTTGGGAGCATTCGATTAGTAATGACATAACAGAGAATATCAAGGCGTGGACGATTGAATTTGTATAAAAAATCACGTTTAAGGATTCTCCAATTCGACTCAATAATTATTGTAGTACAAATAATTAATCCATTTTTGTGAGCTGATAGTGCCCAAAGGCACCAACAATCCCACCGGTACCATTCCAACCACAAATAACACCATACATGAAACAAGTTGCGTTGATAACAATATTGAAAAATTTCATTAACTGCTCGATACCAGATTTCATTTGAACTTGACACAAATTCTTTATCAGCAGTGGGAATAAGCATATGACGATGAAAATGCATAACAACATATTCCAATATTTCTTTTCACAATGATGCCTCCAAAAAAACTTTTTTAGAGCCTAAATTACTACTTTGGGTTGGTTGCCAGGTAGAATCAATGATAGGGCATTGTTGATGTGCATTAATAGCATTATAGTTAGATGAAATATTATTAAACTTTGAGGATAATTTTTGCTCAATTGCACGTTTTAAGTGCCACTTGCAAAGTTGAATTTCCACATCCTTCCAAACGGCCATTCCACTACTAATCTGGGCAAAATCCTTGTCAGAAAGGATTGTTTTTACTTCTTTAAGCCCACTTTCACGTAAAACTTTAAACCATGAGGTTATAGCTGCACGAATATCACGCCTTTCCCAGATTCAATAAATCAATATGACCAATATTAAGTTTCGATACTTATAAGGTAATAAAGTAATAGGGTATTTAACAAGTAACAGAAAAATGTATAATACGATCGTGAAGAGCCTTCACGGTAAAATAAGGGAAATAACTAAATATAACCAAGTGACAATAAACTTATAAAAACAACTGAGAAATCAATTCTTAATACTCCTATATTAAAGACAATGAAATCTAAAGCTTTATTTGAAGAGCGAAAAGACAGCTCTTTTATACTTTCGAAATACATAAGAATAAGGCTTTTACAGCATAGCGGGCTTTCATTGTAATTGGCTGATTTTTGTAGATCATCCCGTGATATTGCAAAAATATCATTGGTTAA